ATGATCATGGATAATGCACATGGTGATTTCTCACTATCTGTTCCCACTTTTCCTGTCCACTTCTTCCTGACCAGAGGCTGACAATGGCCTGTGTTACAAAGATGACTACACTCAGATGAAACCAAAGGAAGTGGGCTGAGTAAAGAAAAGCACTCTTCATAACAGGATCTTCCTGCTAAGAATGCAACATGGAATTCTGTCTTATTGCTAAGAATTATTTAGGTACTATTGGAACGACTAAGAGCTATTTAGGATACCAGCATTATCTTTTCTTTTATTAATTTGTTCAAAATCAAATATTAACAAGAATTATTGAGAAGGAAAATATTAAAATTTAAAACAAGATCTTTTAATTTTATTAAAGCCTGTATTTGCTTCAATCATATTATTCAAAAGTAAAATTTCCTTCTCAACTTATGAAATATGTGCTTCTTTCTTTAGGGGATATGATGCTCCTATGACAGGGAGTATTCCTAGTTCACACACACACACATGTACAGAGCAGTTCATCCTTTGATTTTATGGTGTTTTCAGAAAGTGTGAGGCAAAGGGAAGTGCAGAGTCCTGGTAGGGCAATGATCGCCCTGTGTAAGTCACTACTGCCCGTCCGAGTCTCACCATCGTCCATGTTTTCAGCTCATACGTAGCATATGATCCATTTAGTGCACAAAAGTGCGAACCCTTGCTAAACTGAAAGCAGCTCAGTTTAAATGGAAATGTCCTGAGAAGAACTAACAGCCACAATCAAAACAGGAAAACAATCTTTCAAAGGACCCAAAATATTTCTGTATGTTAAATATACGTTGACTGCGTCAGAGTGCAAATACAGCGTGGTCACATCATTGCTACACAAGGACTCAGCTTATGATTAAGAAAACACAGGTCCAGAATGATTGATGGACCTTGGAAGGACCTTTCCAGCTCTACAGCTGCAGGGCATCCTACATCATACTGCAGTAATAAGCAAATGCGTTACAACACTGAACAAAAACTTACATTACTTAGTTGGGACAGCTACTGCTTTCTTTTGTATTGAGTCCTACACAATAGTCTTCTCCCAAAAATTCATTATGTTGCAAAGCCTATAACATATGTGGGAATAGAACAAAGTAAATAGCATGGAATTTCAAAAAGTTCTCAAAGAAGTAGCACAACTATGTCCTCTATTTTAGTCCTTATGTTATTTCTAAAAACAGCAAGTTTCATGTTCACAGGATTTGTATCACTAAAACTGTTTCCTCTGGCAACCTCAAAGCTTAGATTTGGGATATTGCTTCTGATTGGCTAAGAAGGAAGATCTCTGGATAGATTACCTCATAGTTTGTCCTCCTTCTATCTCCAATTTTATAGCCCATAAACACTAAAATGAAAGCAGCATAATTAATTTATGGCAATGATCTTCTGTTCTTGTTTATTCTCATCAAAACCAGCTGTTCTTGGTTACACTATAGAAAGACACAGACAGATTTCCTTGAAGTTGATCAGCTTTAAGGCCATTTGGCTATGAATATTATATGGCCTTTATTTCTGTTTTAATGTTCCTTTCAATACAAGCTACGTATTATAGCCTCCCTCCTCTCATTAATTTCCTTATTGAACTGAAACACAATATTTTTCATCAATAAGCCAAACTTTCTCCTTTACTATGAGATTTCTCCACTCCTACCTTTTCCTCAATCAATAAAGTCATTGGGGAAAACCCTGAGGGCTCCCCGTACCAATAGTAAATTCTCATCTATTGCTCCTAAAAGAAAATTCTTCAATGACAGATGGCCACAGCCCATGGCTGGACAAAAGACCTGGTCAGGCTTTACTTCGGTTTGCCTTAGCTTGGAAGCCGAATCAGGATGACAGCTAAGGATAGTTTACCATGAAACCGTAGTACAGAATACTGAAATACTGAAGCCACACGAGCCGAGGTGCCATGGTTTTAAGATTTACCGTGATACCTGAAAAGATCTAAAGGAAAAAGAGCAAAAGTCAACACCAGTCCAGTTATTTTATGAAGAATTCTAAAGAAGACCCTCTTCAAGAACTCTATAACCTTTGAAACACTTCTGCTAGAACTATTTCTAGAAGTTCCTTCCACTTACTCCAAACACTCATCTCCTTCCTTTGTATGTGAGTAACCCTACACAGCTAAGGCTACTTACGGTTTTAGAGGCAATCAGTACCACTGTGATATACTATAGATTCCACTTGTTTGGAAGACCCTTAAATAAATTTTGCATAACTACACACAGTGGAAGATTAGGAAGTATAGTCATAGCAGGTCCTGGTAGCATAGGCCTGTGTGGCCCACCCCTATGGGAGGCTGAGGTAGAATCACAAATTACAGTCCCACTTAGGCAATTTAGTGAGACACTGCCTCAAAATAAAAAGTAGAAAAAGGCCTGAAAAAATGGCTTAGTGTTAGAGTGTTCCTGGGATAAATCATCAGTCCTGGGGAAGAAAAGCAAGTCATCTCTTGGTGTCCAAGTGCCAATGGTTCCAGGAATCTCTCAGCTTCTGCAGATGCTCAAGTTCCTTATTTATAATGATGTGGTATTTCCATGTAGCCCACATTTGTCTTTTATCCTGTAAATATACTATCTTGTATATTTTAAATGATCTCTAGATTTCTTGTGGTACCTAATACAATGTAAATGCTATGAAAATTGTATTGAATAATTTAGGGAATGACTACAAGAAAAGAAAAACTGCACATTTATCAGCACAGATATAATTTTTGTTTTGTATAGTTTTGATCTGTTATAGGTTGAAATCTTTGCATCTGGAAGCCATGGATACAAAAGAGCAACTGTACTGATGATCCTAACTTCACCACTGCTATCTGCTCACCCAATAAAACTGGCAACGTAAGAAAACACCAGAATAATCTTGAGCATCAGAGGCTATTCTACAATTCCATACAAAAATGAGATTTGTTATTTGTAAGGTTTCACATTCTACATTCATGACTTTTGGAATAACCTGCTATTCGTAATGTAGATTTTAGGTAGCCTAACATGAAGAAATAAAAAAACATCATGACAAGAAAAAGAACAACAGGGAATATGATAAATAACTTCATTTAAATCGATCCCCCAAACAGTATCACACTGGAGGTGGCAGGAAGCGTAATTCAACCTGAACAATAAACACCATGCAGGCTACCTAACTCTTGGCCCAGCTGGTGCTGGGTGTACTGAGATCTGCAAAACAATGACAATGCTGCTCGTGTATCTGCATATATTTAAATGAACTAATATGGTATTTAGTATATAACACAGCATGAGTAAAATATAGTTTTTTAAATTGCCTTTTAAAGTTCTATATGGAGACCTTTACAAAATAATCAAAGCATTGTATAAATAAAACAAAAGATTTATATTTACTGCAGGACATTTTCTTTACTGGAAGACAGTATAGAAATATAAAGAAGGCTTGTCTACTTGTTAGCTGAAAAATTCAGAGAAGGAAGAACTAAACTTTGGCAAAAGATAATGCTAATTAGATAGCACTGTCTACTCCCACTCTAGTAGAAAGAATGTATATTGATAGGCTAACCATTCCCGTATCTTGATATAGCAAGGGGGAAATCTGTGGCAAGTGGTTCTATTCATCTATTGAGTCATTTATGTGAGTGCAAAGTTTATGATCATGTCAAATTTGGACTAAGTTACTATTTAAAAAAAGATAAGCGAGAGGCCAAGGATTTGTTCATTGGCACTGTGCCTGCCTGGCAAGCACAAGGTCCTGAGTTGGATTCCCGGTACGGAGAAAAAAAAAAAAGATAAGCAGGAATATATTGATATAAGAGATTGGCAGAAATCCAGAGAGGAGATAACCTGCTACTGTGAACGTTGGATTTCTCCAGTATTTTTAAAACATTCCTTTTGAAAATTACAGAGGCTCCCAAGACAGAGTATCCATCCCCCTTACTGCTATGCATTTCACAAAGCTTCACTTTCACCTTGGAGGGTATGAACCCAAACCCATCACCTCCACCGTGGTTAAACAGCTGGAAGTTCCCTTATACTAGCATGAAAGGTAGGCAGGTAACCTGGAATTTTTAGCTGGGAACTAGTGAATTCTAATTTTTCTCATTTGGGAAGTTCTAATTTATCAAGATTTTATAAAATGTCACCAAGAAGTGTCTTGTAAAAGCTTATTAGTAAGCTTAGTTAGTAAGTATGTCAGCTAAGTTATACTACGTTAGAACAGCAATGACAGTGACAACAAAACCCTGAATATTCAAGGAGGAAAGCTGGTGCATTCTCTAATTATTAAGTAAATTGTGGCTCCTTAAAAGAATCTGTACAATCCTAGCAGGTTTTACGGGACAGGTGAATGTGCAGGAAGAAAAAAGGGAAAAGTCCCTCAGAGAAGGACAGCTCATACTCACCATCATAAACACAAAGTAGATGTCCATAAGAGTGTTGTTAAAAACACCACACCCTGACCTGCTGCGATGGCCAGCGCCAAAAAATGGGCTGAACAAGATACCAAAACATCATGATTAAGAAAGCTCCCACTGCTTGTTTCAACCCTTAGAAAGAAAAGAAGGGGTCAGTTCAACCACCTAGGTTACTGTGTATGTACAATTGTTTCTGAGTACCTAACACTACAGTATTCCAAGAAATCAATGTCAGAATCTAAAGAGTCACTCACTATACAACTATGCTAGGTCACCAATTTTGTTTTTTGCTTCCACATAGCTATCTAAAGTTTGCTTCCACATAGCTATCACATTTTCTGTTTTACATTTACCACAAAAGCACTTTTCCACACACCCTGTGCTACCTCATGTGTGATTATGAACAACTTCTGAGTTCCCCAGGTGGAGAGTTCCAGGCAACACAATGGGACAGAATTCTCCTGCCTTTGCCTCTCACAGAAAACTCACCCACAGCCGTTCTCCTACCCAGACATCTCCACAGCACTCGATGTGTGCTGTGACTGCACCAGT